AGTTGTAAAAGTGTACTTGTCTTGGTGATTCTTCTGCATGGTGAAGTCCGCCACCGCGGAGTGACTTCCAGCCAATTCCACCTGTACCTTTGCCTCAGGTTTCGGCTGCACATCGAGTCCAACTTTCCAGTCATTCTGCACATCAGATGCTGCGGCATGAAGCATATCAATGGCCGAGTTTTGTATGGAAGTGTGAACTTTCTTCTGACAAGTCGATTTGGCTGTCCAGTCAATGGCCACCAAGGGAAGCCTCTGAAGAGGGCTGTCCTGCAGGAAAGGGGTACGGCACAGGGTGCAAGTGCCATCAGCTTTCTGCCACTGGCTCAGATCCAACACCTTGGACTTCTTCTCCAGCGTGGTGATGTCAAAGCCTTGTCCAGCCAAGCTGTAGCCAGGCACAAAGCCCCTTTCCTCATCACATTCATCAGCTGTGCTGACATGGCAATAGGGAGAGACGCCGATCAAAAAAAGGAGGAGGAAGAGAAGCTGTAGGGTGAAGTCACCCAAGATGGACTTGGCTCTCAGCATGGTTGATGATCCTACATGGGAAAGAAGAACAGACTGTGAATTCCAGAAGCTTCATTAAAAATGAGATTTCAAAGTGGAGCAGCATCCATCAGCTATAACATTGGGTGAAAAAGACATGTAATTAGTTTAAATATCCCCCCACCTCTCTCCACCCCATACATGGTGTGAAGTGCCCACTGTTTTCAAAAGGGCCAGAGGAGCTCTTAATAATTATTAGGCATTTAAAGCAGGAGTTCCCAATCTTAGCCACTTTAAGACCTGTGGAGTTCAACTTCTAGAATTCCCCAGCCAGGAATTGAAGTCCATGCATCTTAAAATGGCCAAGTTTCAGAACTCCTAGTCTAAGCATCTAATTTCAACCAAATGCAACCAGAACAAAACATTTAAGTTCAGTCTAAATCAGTGAACTTCTCAATTTTGTCAGCTTTAAGAGATGTGGACTTCCACTCCCAGAATCTGTAAGTACTATGGGAATCCCAGAACCCCGCTACTATGAATCGCACAGTACTACAGTACTGTGCTGTACTCCCAGCATAGTACTGACTTCTTCAGCTTCAACCTCAATAATACTCAGGCAAACAATTGATACAAACTCAAGGTAAACTGCTCCAAACTCAATTGCAGAAAATACGACTTCAGCAACAGAGTGGTCAACGCCCGGAATGCTCTACCTGACTCCGTTGTTACAGCCTCTAACCCTCACAGCTTTAACCTTCAACCTGTCTACCGTGAGCCTCACCCCATTCCTAAGAGGTCCATAAAGGGGGCGTGCATAAGTGCACCAGTGTGCCTTCCGTCCCTACCTTACTGTCCCCATTTATTTGTAGTCATTTCCTTTGTTCGTGTCCATGTTTATATCTATTATTTTGTACATGTTTGACAAACTAAATAAAATAAATAAATACATAAATTCCTCAGCCAGCATGCAGTTGCTTCCTCACAACCACTTTTCAAACCAGGTATATCCAGTAGTTTTAAATCTGAACTTTGCACATTTGGAAAAATTGCATATCAAGCCCGTAAGAGAGAAGACCCAGAGAATTCAAAACCTCTGGAAATGACATCACTAAACTAAGGATACTCGGATACTCACACAAAGGAAATCTAAGCTACTGAGTCAATCATAACATTATGGAATGTAAGGATTTGAGTGGATCTTGGAGATCAATTTTTCTCAACCTCAGCTGCTTTGAAATATCTGGACTTCAACTCCCAGAATTATTTAGGCAGCATTGTAGGAAGAAAAATCTTGCCCGGTTCCAAGCCAAAAGAAAGACACTGGAAATAAAATGGAGGCTGGCTGTTTGCAAAGAAGGTCTCTGTTTATTTGGATGCCAGAAACTCCAGTGACAACAGCAATGTTTCTGTGGTGGCTGACAAAATGGCGGAGTGAGTGGACGGATCTTTATAGGATTCTGGTGTTTTGTGATTGAGATGCTTCAGGGGGTTGTGCAATGTAGTGAGCCTTGTGTCTTTTGCTATTCCTGTGGTGGTGGGTTAATCCTATTATGTTCTAAATGTCATGTCCTGTCCTTAGAATTTGGGTGGGGGAATGTAAATTCTTAATCCCATCAGCTCCAGCCTTCCTTTTGTGGGATCTGTGGTTGAAGGCATTTTGTTTATGAACAGGCTGGCCTGGATTTCTTAATGGGCACAAAATGACCCTCTCTAATGACTTCCGTAGCCTGTTTGAGGCTACGGGGATGCTTTCTGCCTTTGTTAAGATTTTTCTCCATTTCTCCCTTGGGGAAATATAATATTCTGCCTCTTTTAATATTCCCCAAAATATTTCATTCTCTAGGAGGGGAGCAGGGGGCTTCCCCCAGCATGCTAAGGAAGTGAAGTCTACAGATTCAAAAATAGTTGAGTTTGGGAAATAATGATCTAGCCCAGGGGTCTCCAAACTTTGCTGATTTAAGACTTGTGGACTTCAACTGCCAGAATTCCCCAGCCAACCATGTAGAAGTCACAAGTTTTAAAGTTGCCAAGTTTAGATACCCCTAAAGTCTAACCTCCTGCTCAGTGTAGGAATCTTCTATTACAGTAATTCTAACAGATCCACTCTCCATTTAAGCATGCTGAAAAAGTTAGAGCTTCAAGCTGTTTTTAGCAGTCTTTCTGCTACTACAACACCCAAGCTTTTCTGTTCCACATTCAGTGTGTCAGCCAGAGCAAAAACCTTGGCAGGGGACGCCCCATTTTTATTCTCCTTTTAAAGTATTATTGATATCCAATATATCCGACGTTTTATACACCAATTTTATTTGCACACTCTTTGCCTGCAGAATTTTTGCCCATAAAACCTGGGGGGGCATCCCATCATACCCACTCACGGGTCATTCTTTTTAAAACATAAAAGAAGCCGTATACAATGCATGGGGTAAACTGAACAACTAGATATGCTCGTAAGCACAATTAAAGGGAAGAATAAGTACCTGCTGTAAAACTTCAGCCCATTAAAGATGAAGTGATCCATACTGATCTTGACATACTTATTATTTTAAGATAAATATTGCCTTTTATGCAAGACCTCTTTGTGGCACGTCTAGGATTTCCTCCTATTTTTCTCCACAACAGCCCTGCCAGATAAGCTAGGCTAAAAGAAAATAATTGGTCCCCTGTTATCCAGGTTTAGGATCCATGGTTGAAGATGGACTAGAACATTCTTCCTAATCTAGCATCTTAACCAGCATGGCAGGTCTCAATGTGGCTGGGAAAGAAGACCTATTTTTACATGCAGATTGGCAGATAGAATAGGATTTTTTTTTTCCACATCAGGAGTGCCAAGAAATCACCCCAAAATTTTTTCAAATAAACCTGTTGTTTCAGAAAGCTAGCAAAAGAATTCAGCCCCTCAGCCGAGAGTGGATGTTTGCTAAAAACCATCCTGATTCCCAAACTGGTTTCTGCCCATCTCAATTCGAGCAAAATATTAGAATAAATCAACAGTTCTGCTGATTGCAATGTTACTTCCATACTCCCCCCCCCATTCTAAATAGGAATTTAAGCATAAATATCTCTTCATAAATACATACCTTAGCAGTAGAAGGAGAAACACATGTACACACACCCTCTGAAATCTATCTGGCCGTGACAGGATATCACAGTCAAGAAAACTGAAAAAGAAACTCAGATTTTCTATGACACATGGTTGAAAGATGATAAGCCGAGTGGGGAATATGACTATGAGGTTTGTACACAACCTCCCCAGGGCGACAACAAAATTCACACCTCAGCTTGCCTTTTGCCCACTGATTAAGTTGTTTATTCATTTTTTAATCCAAAGAAATGAGCTTACACACTGTCCCCTCANATATCACCACCAAACATCCACAAACAAAGCAGACAAAAACCCACACTGATGAGGAGACACGACCAAGGACCAGAGGCCAGACTGCAAATGCACAATTAGCCTCTTTAAACCCCTCCTAAAAAGTATACATGTGGTTATATGTTATGAAAATGAATATATATAAATGTATCTTTGTTGGTTCCCTGCACCAACATTCCCTCCCAAGATATGGTTCACAAAAAATAAAGTTACTACTATATAAATTTTGATCTGTTTGCATAAATGCATCCTCCTCCTAGGGGCATTTGTTTTTTCCTTTTGCAAAATGTTCTTTCATATATACATGTGTGTGAGACAAACTGACAATATTTTTAATAGCACCAAAGCAGTGTTTCCATATTTTTAATTCTAATATGTGATATGTATTAAATGGGGAAAATGTTTATTTTTAATAAGCAGCAACGATTTTCTAAGTTGTTGGGAAGAATTGTAACACTGCATTTTGGGGATGGGAAGGAAAGGAAGGTAAACAATTTCAGTAGTTTCTTCCAATAAATGTCTTTCTCATGAAAAAGGACAGAGGTCTGTCAACAAATTGTTTGGCATTGTTTCAGACCAAAAGAGGGGAAGGGGTAACTCCTTGTGCTATTCATGAAGAGAGATAAAAAGGTTCTTGTAAACATTTTTCTACCAAAAATACTTATGACAACACACCTTAATGTAATACAAAAATAAAAAGATACAAATTTGATATGATCACTTTCTCACAGGCCATATATGTTGCTTTCATAGAAGGACCTAAAATGTGGCTAGGTTCAACTGAACCTGCAACGTAGTTCTCCAACATATCAGATGGGACAACAGAAAATGCTGAGAAAGGGGGGGGGGAATCAAAGGTGGAGAGAGGAAAAAGAAAAAGGTATAACCCTTGCCACATGAAGGCCTGTGCTTTCTCAATAATTCAGGTGCTGCAAGTCAATTGTGGCCAGTGTATCTGTAAAAAAGTCAAAGTTGTCAGTTGAAATATCTACAGGACTGTCGAGGGATGGTGGCAAACTGGGGGCGATGTCAGAAATCTGTAGGCAGGAATCTGCAGAGAAAACGCTGAAGTCCTGCAAAGAAGGGACTTCCAGGGCCTCCGGACTGCCATTGTTCAGGGCAGCTGCACAGTTCTGGCCCATTGTTGAGAGGTAATGGGGAGCAGTGGGTGACTGGTGCTGAAAATGTTTGAGATTTTTCTCATTACTGGTTAAAGTCAAAACTGGAAAAGTTTGTGACTCTCCATTGTGGAGGCTTGGAGGCTCCTGATCCAGGGCATTCTTTTGAAAAGGGTACCTTTCCCTGTCCAAAAGAGCCCCTGAGACGTTGTTGAGGGCTTGCTCAAAAAGAGATTTCTCCTCTTCGGTTTTCTCGGGATTCCCCAAACCTTTGCATTTCCCTTTGCTATTCTGATGCTCCTTGCTCTGGGTCTGCCTCTTGTACTTCATCCGCCTGTTTTGAAACCAGACTTTGACTTGCCTCTCGGTCAGATCTAGGAGAGCGGCGATCTCCACCCTCCTTGGTCTACAGAGGTACTTGTTGAAATGAAATTCCTTCTCCAGCTCCAAAAGCTGCTTGTTGGTATAAGCAGTCCTTAGTCTCCTGGAGCCCCCATTACCATTTTCTGAGATCTCCAGAGATTCTGTTGAGGAAGAAAACAACCAGTTAGAAGAGACGTGTGGAATGGGTGGAAATATTGCCCCTAGTTGGACCTTTTGAGGACACCCGAGCCTGTTGAGAAGAGAGTGGTACTGGTGGTGAGAAATCTCTCCCGCTCTCTCTCCAGAGCATAAAAAACCACCCCAATTACAACAAAATGGCTGCCCCGCGAATACAGCAAAGCCATTGTGTTGCCAGCTTGCGTGCCCACTCTCCAGGGGCCCCTTTCCCCTCAGTTTGAGGTACTGCTTCGTCTCCATCTCCCAAACCTTCCCCTAGCCGAGCAAACGTTGATATTAGTCATACCACAAATTATAATTAATGCATCAGCTGCTTTGCTGAGCGAGAGTAATATATCACTCTTCATTACTGTCAAGGATCCCAACTCTAGAACAGAGAGACAAGAGGAGGCCACCTCCAACTCAAATCATCACACACTAAACAAGTTAGGGGGAAAGAAACTTTGCTTGGGGTGGGGGCGAAGGAGGGTTGTTGGTGTTTCTGATGCTTTTGCCTGTGGATCCCACCGCCGGCTTCCTTCCTCAGGGTTCTGTGTCTGAGTTAGGAAGGCAATGCTCCAACAGAGAGGTGAAGGCAGTGGGGAGGGTGGGGGAAAACAAACAAATCAGGGGAGAACAAACAAATGGGGGGGGAGAGACTTAGGAAGCAGAATGGTCCACCAAAGTCTTTCAACTGACCTTTGTGGCTCAGGCAAGCTGGTCCAGGGACAGAGGCCAAGGCAGGCAGCGGCAGGGTGGTTTTCTTGGATGCCTTTTTCTCTTTCATCCAGGGGTACTCCGGAGGCTGGAGGGCACTGGCTGACACTGGGCTGCCGCTGTTATTGAGGCTGTGCTTGGGAAGGCTGCCGCTGCTGTGGCGAGAGTGGCTACCCGGTTTCAGGTTGGGGATGGTCTGCTCAAAAGTAGGAGGAGGAATCAGTGTCGAGTATGAAAGCATGGAGTTCTTGATTGATGAACTTTGAAATGTATCGCCGACAGGGGGAAAAGATGTCAGGCACTCAGCGAGCGATGGCTGACTATTGATAAAGCCAATCTCTCGCTCAAATTCGAAATTCATGACCTTCAACTCGCAGCCCACTTAGAGAAAAAGTTCCCTCTTATTTAGCGCTTCTGGGAGCGGGGAGCAAGGCCCAGGAAGGGGAAGGGCGGGGACGGTGAGAGAAAGAGGGATTGAGAGACAGAAAGAAGGGATAAAAAATATAGAAGAATGCTCGTGGGATTTTTTTTCTAATTCACTGATTGCAGCTGTATGGGGACCATGCTACTTCGCTTCCATTTAATTCATGGAGACAAGGTTGAAACTGGACCGAATTGGCTGTCACATGATTACATCTGCCCAATGACAATTTGGGCTTTAATCAAAAGAAGCCACTGTCCGTTTGGTTGATCCAAAAAAGTCGAAAAAGAAAGCCTAATTGGGGCCAAAGAGGCATTATTTACACTTTATTTTTTTAGGAGGGGGCTTTATCTCCGCTGCTCGCCCGCTCCCATTTTGCCTCCCAATCTGAAATGTTATCTGGGGTAAGTGACTGCTTCTGTGTGTGGGAGAGTGAGTGTGTGTGTGCGTGCAGTCGCCGCGGCTCTGCTCGCCCTGTAGGGCCTCTGCCCCGCTTGTCCCCCTCCCATCTTATTGTTTGGCACTGTCAGGCAAGCGCTTCATACCTCACAAATCATTTAAGCACCTCCAATTCTTGAGTCATTAACAAAGTAATCCATTCATCTTCACAGTTTTGACATTGCCAACAACAGCATCAGAAAGTTGCATTTGGCCCACCACCAGTCCTAAGGAAAGAAATAATTACTTCCTAAAATTAAAGCAAGCACCAGAAAGAGGTGGGAGTTCCCACCCCTCCTCAAGACCTGGTATCTTTTGGCATTTCTCCAGGGGTGGGGGGTGTTCATTTTTCTGAACGGTACAGTACAGAGAACAATTGGCGGCCGATCTTGGCATGTATACATTGTGTGGAAGGAATTTCTCCAGGAGCTTTGGTTCCCTGGACAGAACAGAAGTCGGGCCGGCGAAGTCATGGATGTATCTTGAGTTGGCTGGACATAAGTAGATGGTAAAAGCAGATGTATATCCAACAGACACTCAAACCGTAGACAAAGGTTTTACAAAAAAAGTGATGAATCAGAAGAACAATCCAGAATATTAACATAAACCACATTAGAATCAGCTGTCTCATTGTTTCCCCCCATAACTTCAATAAAATTGGTGAGTCTTGATGCCAAGGAGGTACGTCAAAATTCAATATCAGAGTTTTAAAAATTATCAACCATGTAAACCTACCAAAGATATGGAAGGACCGTAAAACTGATCGTAAAACTGATCGCCTGACAAAATAAGACTGTTTGAAGACACCATCTTTTGGTTTACTTTTCTTTCAATTTGCTCATTCAACAATGTTGCAGGTTTAGACATAACAGTTCTTCAATCGCCTCAAGTAAAACGGAAAACAAAAGGGGGGAGGGGACAATGGAAGGAACAGGAGGATTCAGTAATAAGGGGTAGAAAATGGCATTCCCTCTCTTCCGAAGCAAAGGTGCTATGTGGGAAGGGAAAGGAAGAATGTTGTGAGGTATTCCTATATATTTCAAGGACGCCCTAATATGCTACTAATGAGTAATGCTACTTTGAGTACTTTTGAGATTCTGAGTTAATCCTGGAAATTGTTGCTCCACCTTCTCATCAAACACATCTGAGCAAAACAAAAAGGATCAGGCCCTTTTCATTTTGAGCGAATCAATCCACACAATATGGAAGGAGAGCTGGTGAGGGTTGGAATATTGTAATAATCTTAACAATTTCCAATTTGAATTTTATGTTATTTAAGAAGAGCGAGGGGTAAAGAGGGCGCCTCAGAAATATACATGGTGTGGGAGGGGGGACGCTTTTGTAATTTTCTTGCTTTATTTCAAACAAAGCTCTGCTGAAGTGTAGGCGCTATCAATCTTCTCGGCCAAAATGCCTTGACAGCTTCTGGCCCTTAAGAACACACTTGGAGCTTCTTGCTCTTTCCGAGGTGAAATGTGGCAGAGAAAAGAAGAAAGGGGGGGGGGGGCTCCAGTAAATAAG